TCCACCGGAGGAGCCTTGCCAACCCACTTGGGCCTGGCTATCTAGTGCTCTGAGTGGCGGGCACCCGGACCAGACCAGAATTTGAGCTCCCGGGGAGCCGAGACCCAATGGCTTGGGCCTGCTTCCCCGACAGGATGCCGAGCCACACATTCGTCCTTGAGGCTGCTTCTTCTGTGCTCACTCTCCTTGCCCAGGCTGGGGGTAGCCTGAGGGGCTGCAGGGCTCCTGCTGGATGGGTCCACGAGGCAAGGTGAGGCAGGTGGCAGGGCAGGGGTGGCCTGGCTGTGGGGCACATGATGAAGCTCTGGGACTGGGTTTGGGCAGAACAGGGAGGGGAGCCCCAGCTGCCTGATGGGGATGGGGTCTCCCTGCTCCTACCGTTCACCAGGATCATTGGGGGTGGGGGGACGGGCAGCAGGTTCACTGGAGGACAAGGTTGGACGGTGGGGGCTGATCCCCAGACATGTCTGCGCTAACACTTTTTTTTTCAATTGAGATTGAAGGTAATAAGAAAATCTTGCAAGTCTGATTGTATTGTACCTCCCCCCCACAACTAGTGGGAAAGTCACAAATAATAATAATAATAAAGTTGGAAGGGACCTTGGAGGTCATCTAGTCCAACCCCCTGCTCAGGCAGGAAACCCTACAGTATGTGTTAATGCAGCCCAGCACTGTGTTGGCCTTTTTGGCAGCTGCAGCACACTGCTGGCTCATATTTAAGTGATTGTCCACTAGGACTCCGAGATCCCTCTCACAGTTGCTACTATTGAGCAAGGTACCCCCTATACTGTACCTGTGCATTTGGTTTTTCTTGGGGATCTTGAGTGTGGGATGCTGGAACCATTATAAATGTGCAGCCGGTTGTTCCATTTTATGTCCTTTCTTGCCACAGATGTGAAGTGAATCACTGCAGGGCTCAGTTAATAACAGGATTGGGTTTTTTGTATTAACATTTTTATTATTCAAAATATAAAATACAAAGAAAAATAAAATAGTGGGAAACTAAGGGTAGGAAAAAGGGAAGTGTCACAACTCCGGCTGATGATCCCAACAAAGCAAACACCCCTGAGACATTGCAATTTCTAATGCCAGACTTTATTGGGAAATGCATACCGGCAGTAATGAACTCTGAGTAAATTGGTGCAAAAGCAGTATATTCAAAGCATAGCAACTCCCTTCCCCCCCTCCCCGACAATGCAGGTCACATTACCCAATTAAGCATCAGACAATTATTATGAGAAAGAACCTTCAATTTCCAAAACAATCTCTATAGCTGCAGATACAACCCACGTTCCATTCTCCCCCTCCTGTCTCTGTTGGCAAATCAAGGAAAGAAAGAATCTGAAACGGCATGGAGTTTTTTCCCCCCGAACTTGACAGACTGACACCCCCCCAGAAGTTGGAAGGAACCTGGAAAACAAGATGAATATACATTATACCATTTTATCTCATCCCCTGTGGGGCCCCAGGCTTCCGGGGATGCTTAATGTGGAATCGCTTCACCAAATAATCCGCTTTTACGTGTTCAGCCTTTACCCACCTAGCTTCTGTCAATGGATAGCCCTTCCATTGAATCAGGTAATTGGAACTTCCCTTTGTGGATTCTGGAAGTTTCTCCTTAATTCCAGGATGTTTCTCGCCTTGATTGGTTTCCATCATTTCTTGTCTTGCCTTCTGGTGCTTTGGAAAATAACTTGGCCCCCTCTTCTTTGTGCTAGCCCCTCAAATACTGGAATACTATCATGTCACTCCTAGTCCTTCTTTTCTCTAGAGTGGCCATACCCAATTCCTGCAACCGTTCTTCATATGTGTTTGTCTGTCTCCAGGCCATTAATCATCTTAGTTGCTCTTCTTTGCACTTTTTCCAAAGTCTCAACATATTTTGTGTAATGTGGTGATCAAAACGGGATGCAGTGTTCCAAGTGTGCCCTTACTAAGGTTTTATAAAGCTGCACTAATATTTCATGTGATTTGGCTTCTGTGCCTGTTTATACAACTTGGGATTGTATTACCTTTTTTGGCTGCTGCTGCACACTGCTGTGTCATGTTTAAGTGGTTGTCCACTAGGATTCCAAGGTCCCTCTCACAGTTACTGTTTTTGAGCCACGTTTTGCCTAATCTGCACTTGTACCTTCGGGTTTTCTTATTAAGGTGTAAAACCTTGCTTTTCTCCACATTAATTTTCATCTTCTTGGATAGGGCCCACTGATCAAGTCTGTCAAGATCTTTTTGGATCCTGAGCTTGTCTTCTGGGGTGTTGGATATTCCTGCCAGCTTAGTGTCATCTGCCAATTTGACGAGTTTCCCTTCTATTCCATCATTTTTTATTTTATTTTATTTTTTTTATTTAATTGAATTTTTACCCCGCCCTTCTCCTTGCGGACTCAGGGCGGCTGACAGCCTGAGTCATCTAAGTTATTTATGAAGCTATTCAAGAGTACTGGGTATAAAACAGAACCTTTCTTTCTTTTAAAATATTTTGTCTATCCTTGTTTTATTTTTGAAAAAAATCATATATATTTTTGTAGTTTGTATTTATATTAACTTTCTGGATATATTTTTTTAAAAGCCCCTTTACCAGAAGCAGGTTCATGGGGTTCTGCACCTATTTTCTAAACTGTCTCTAAATTCATGGAAACATGAAGCATCGTAGGCTTGGAAGGGAACTTGGGGGTCTTTTAGTCCAACTCGCTGCTCAAGGCAGGAGCCTTACACCATCCCACTCAAATGGTTGTCCAGCTTGTTCTTGAAAACCTCCAGTGATGGAGCAGCCACGATGTCTGGAGGCAAGCTATTCTATTGCCCTCACTGACAGAAAATTTCTCCTTACTTCTACGTTGGATCTCATTTTAATAAGCTTCCACCCATTACTTCTTGTCCTAAACTTCCACCCATTACTTCTTGTCCTGCCCTCAGGTGCCTTAGAGAGTAAGTCAATCCCCTCTTCTTGGTGATAGTCCCTCAAGTACTGGAAAACAGCTATCATGTCCCTCAAGTATGATTCCCTTTGATAGCCTAGATCAGGGGTAGGCAACCTTGGCTCTTTTATGACTCATGGACTTCATCTCCCAGAATTCCTGAGCCAGCCATGCTGAGGGAAAAGGGAGAGGTTTCCAAGCTGAGCCATGCTGGCTCAGGAATTCTGGGAGTCATGAAGGGGCCAAAGTTTTCCTCATGCTGGCTCAGGAATTCTGGGAGTTGAAGTCCACAAGTCATAAAGGGGACATGGTTCCCCCATGCTGGCTCAGGAATTCTGGGAATTGAAGTCCACGAGTCATAAAAGAGCTACAGTTGCCTACCCCTGGCCTAGATATACCTATCTCCCACAACTGATCATCATACGATATAGCGTCCAGACCCTTTATCATCTTTACTGCTCTTCTCTGCACAATTTCCAGGGTCTCAACAACTTTTTGTATCATGGTGACCAGAACTGGACATGGTAATCTAAGTGTGGTGTGTCCAGCACTGTGTAAACCAATTCTATCTCTTCTTGTTGTCTCAACACTATTCCTGTGGAGGCAGCCTAGGAGAGCATTGGCTTTATTGTGGAGCTGCAGCACAATACTGTCGCAAGTGGTACTTGTCCACTTATCATGTGCCCCAGGGATACATGGCCTGCCCTTTTGGAGATCTCCTGGAGGCAACCACCATTTTCAGTGCACCCACAATCCCTTAACACAATCTACAAAGAGTTAAGGTAGCAAAACAGAACAGTCGGTCCCACTCCCAGGTGACAGTGACAAAGATGCAGCCACCATTTTGACCCAGAGGCAGGCGTGGCAAAATAACAGCTGCTTCCACAAGTCCACCATATGGCCCGTGCCCTCCTTCACCAACTTGAGGTTCAGAGATCTTCAAAAGGTATGGAGGAGGAGGCTGTGAGGCGTGGTGTGGTGGGAGTCAGGCTTAAGGATTGAAGGGATCTAATTGGAGTGGGGAAAAGGCTGTGGGGGACCCTGTGGGGAAGAGAAAGGCCTGGGGGGACCTAAAAGGGTAAGGAGGTCTTTGGAAGGCAAGTCTGGATCTGTGCTTTCATGACATACTAACGTAGCCCATGGATGCATGTCCTGCTCTTCTTCACAAAATTGAGGTTCAAAAGGTATAGAGGACTTATAATTTGTTTAACAGTTTCATCAGGGAGAGAAGGAGGTAGGATAGTTCATCAAGGTAGTCTTGCTTAACCACCAGTGCAAGATGCAACCGTAATTGAGATAACAATTGCTATCTTGAGGACTATTTGTATGTCGGCTGGGGAATTCTGGCGCTCAAAATCTGGAGGACCTCAAGGTAGAAGAATGAAACTCCATAGGTGGGAGTTCCATAATCAATATACAAAAAACATTACCCAAAAGCCTTTTTGACAAATTGCGCAACTTCTGCAAAAGGAAATAACCAGTAATTTCTGCTGATAACCAGAAATAAGAAATTAGTCTTTATTAAACTAACAATTTCCACTTTTTTCTCTCTACCAACTGGTCTAAACCTGAAATGTGCTGACCAAAAAGCATCAGGCCAGAATTTAAATAGTTAATTTCCCATCAACACTCTCAATGGGAGATCAGAAATAAAATCAAACTTCTTTAAATTCATTAACTTTTGCCTCATGTCAAATTCCTTGTGTTCAATAAGGGGTGATTTACGCTCGAAGTACATTCCACAGATTGGATATTTGACAGGTCTCCCCCCCATGTGAATCCTCTGATGCATCAACAGGTTGTAAGTATGACTGAAACTTTTCCCACAAAACAACATTCAAAGGGTTTCTCTCCTGTGGGAGTCCTCTGGTGTATAACAAGACTGGAATTCCAACTGAAACTTTTATCACAATCTGGACACTCATACAGTTTTCCTCCCATGTGTATTCTCTGGTGGTTCATCAGGTAAGAATTTTCCTTGAAATTTTTCCCACAATCAAGATATTCAAATGGTTTGTCTCCTGTGTGTATTCTCTGGTGACTCATGAGCTGGAATTTTCTAATGAATCTTTTCCCACAATCTGGACACTCATATGATTTCTTTCCTATAAGTCCTTTGGTGTTTCACCAGGTAGGAATTCTGACTGAAACGTTTACCATAAATCAGACAATCATACAGTCTCTCTCTTGTGTGACTTCTCTGGTGTGTCACCAGGCTGGAATTCTTACTAAAACTATTCCAATATGGGCACTCATAGTTTTTCTCCTGTGTGAATCCTCTGGTGCGTTACCAGGCTGGAATTATAACTAAAACTTTTCCCACACTCGGGACATTCATAGGGTTTCTCTCCTGTGTGAGTCCTCTGGTGTTTCACCAGGCTGGAATTGTGACTGAAATCTTTCCCACAATCAGGACATTCAAAAGGTTTCTCTCCTGTATGAGTCCTCTGGTGTATCACCAGGCTGGAATTGTGACTGAAATCTTTCCCACAATCAGGACATTCAAAGGGTTTCTCTCCTGTGTGAGTCCTCTGGTGTGACACCAGGTTAGAAATCTGACTGAAATTTTTCCCACACTCAGGACATTTAAACGGTTTCTCTCCTGTGTGTATCCTCTGGTGTGTCTCCAGGTGACAAAGCCGAATGAAACATTTCCCACACTCGGGACATTTAAAGGGTTTCTCTCCTGTGTGAATCCTCTGGTGTATTACCAGACTGGAACGGTAACTGAAACTTTTTCCACAAACCAGACACTCATATGGTTTCTCTCCTGTGTGAATCCTCTGGTGTATCACTAGTTCATAATTCTGACTGAAACTTCTCTCACACTCAGAACATTCAAAGGGTTTCTCTCCTGTGTGAGTCTTCTGATGTTTCACAAGGTTGGAATTGTGACTGAAATTTTTGCCACAATCTCGACACTCATACGGTTTCTCTCCTGTGTGAGTCCTCTGGTGTATCACCAGGCTAAAATTCTCACTGAAACTTTTTCCACAGAGAGCACATTCAAAGGGTTTCTCTCCTGTGTGAGTCCTCTGGTGTCTCACCAGGTCGGAATTCTGACTGAAACTCTTCCCACAATCAAGACATTCAAATAGTTTCTCTCCTGTCTCTATTCTCTGGTGACTCATGAGCTGGAATTTTCTAATGAATCTTTTCCCACAATCTGGACACTGAGATGATTTATTTCCTATGTGAGTCCTTTGGTAGGAATTCTGATTGAAACGTTTACCACACTCAGAACATTTAAATGGTTTCTCTCCTGTGTGAATCCTCTGGTGTATCACCAGACTGGAACGGTAACTGACACTTTTCCTACAGACCGGAGGGGGTCAAAAATATGGATGATCCCTTGTTTAGTAGTGCTTTGATTCAAGCCGTTTTTTTCCTCACAGCCTGCCTTATTCTCTGCTCTACGTGCCTGTCTAATTGACCTTTTCTTGCCACTGACCTCTAGACTTCTTTTTCTGAATGAAAAATAATCTCTCTTGATTTTTCATGTAATGTATCCTTAAGTTTCGTTAATTCTATTTTTTTCGTTAATTCTATTTTTTCCAGCATGAAATCTCTTCTTTATTTTCTCTTGTTTCTCTCTCACCTGCTGAGGAAGATGAAGAATTGTGTGGCTTTCTGAAGGAAATTGAAAATATTGATTTTTTTCCTTTTCAATGTTGCTTGTTATTCTCACTTGTCCAGAATGGTCTTATTGCCATCTTCTTTGTCTATAAGATGCAAAGAAAAGTGTACCTTTAGTTTATAAAATATTGCAGATGTGAAAAAAAGCAAAAAGTATATTTTACAATGAATAAGCAAACATGCCACAATACAAGAATAATCTCTTATATTAATTATGATTCATTTGACACATGGAAGACTACCGAGATCCAAGTTCAAATATCCATTCCGTCATGAAATTCTTTTTTTGACTTTGGTCAATCACAAATTCTTAACAGTGCAAAGGGTTATCCTCAAATATATCTGGAAGTGCTGGGAATAGATTATACAGTTGTTGATATATGCATAAAGAGAGAAATACAAATATACACACATACAAATGTATATATGTGGAAAGTCCATGTGTTTTCATCCTGAAAATTATCCCAAAAGGGTTACAGTCAAACCTTTTGAGGCAATTTCAGAGACATGGAAGCTTTAACTGATGAAATGATGCCTAAAGCCTCTGCAAGATTTAAAGCACCAGTGTCAGCTCTGCCTGCCTCAGCTGGGGCCTCACAGGCATTCTGCCATCAAAAGAAGAAGGGGGAGGGAGGATGAAAGGGAGAAAGATGAAAGGGTAATAAATCTTTGTGTATGTGTGATAGGAAATCAGGAAGGGGGGAATGACAGGTGAGAGGCATCAGAGCAGCCAGATCCTGTTTGTACCAGCATCCCATGGTAGGGCACCCTGAGAAATATGTGTATTACCCACAAACATTTCAGAGTTCTCAAAACATCTTGGTGAGCTCCAGTTGGCTGGAAATGGACTGGTCATGTGGGGAGAGATGGGCTGGGGGCAAACCTACCCCTTGTTTTGCATCCAGCGAGGGTGGTGATTTCAGAGCTGGCTTGAATTTACGGCAACCAACACTCTTAGTAAAAGAACCCTTTGCTTTAATCAAATGTACTCGAAGGCTTTTCTTTCCCAAGGCAGGGCTATTCAACCGGTGGTACGTGTACTGGCAGGTGGCACACGACTGTCCTAGAGAAGTGGTAGTGGAGGGGAAAGGAATGAGCTGAAGCGGCAGCAGTGCCACACAAGCCTGTGGGAGAGACAGCTGAAGCTGCAGGGCTGTCGGGGCTCGGCAGAGGCCCCAGGATTAGCGCCGGCCTCCAGCTGATCGGCGCTTCCGGAAGATGGAGGTGCCCTAAAGAGAAAAGGAGGGGGAGAGGGGAGAGAGGAGAGGATATAAAAGGAGGTTTTGGCGGGAAAGGGCCAGCAAGCAGCTGTCCCCGCTCCTCCCCCTGGGCATGCGAAGAGGAAGCAGCGAGCGCCTGGTATCCCTGCTGACCACTGAGAAAGAAAAAAGGCAAGAGAAGCACTTCCTTTTCCCCCAGGACGCCAGTGGTCCTATAATAATAATAATAATAATAATAATAATAATAATAATAATAATTAATAATAATAATAATAATAATAATAATAATAAAGTTGGAAGGGACCTTGGAGGTCATCTAGTCCAACCCCCTGCTCAGGCAGGAAACCCTATACCATTTCGGACAAATGGCTGTCCAGTTTCTTCTTAAAAACTTCCAGTGTTGGCGCATTCACCGCTTCTGGAGGCAGGTTGTTCCACTGGTTAATTGTTCTAACTGNAAGGAGAAAGCAATTTTGTGTTCTTTTTCGTCACAGACAGAACTTTATTGGCAATTCAAGTTAACACTGGAATTCTTGAATTGTGAGCTCTTAGGAAAGTATCCCCTCCTTGTGTGTTGCTAACAGCCATTTCCAGTGGGAAAAACAGGACAAAGCAGAGTGGGGGAAAAATATTTTCCTTTGCCCTATTTCCAGTCTGAATTAGACCAAGGCAGGGTCCCTGCAGGAGAGCTCTTTTAAGCATTATGTATTCATAGAAAAGCAACTAAGCTACCCCTGTTCCTAAACATTAAAGCTGCTGCACATAAAAAACGGAGGAGCTCTGATCAACTATCACAGCCACCATTTTGACAGTTTTGCTGTACTGTTGTCTGTGGACGCCCCCACTAAATGCAAGCACGGGATAAACTGAGCCTGGTTTGTTCCCAATCTTTTTAAGTGGCCACAAACTACTAGCAAAAGTGGCATTTGATCACAAGGCAAGGAGGCATTGAGAAATGTTTCCCCTTTTGCATTTGAGCATCCAAGGAGGGACAGGAAAGGAGAAAGGGAAAGACAAAGAAAAAGAAGGAAAGAGGGGAAGGAAGAAAAAGGAAAGGAGAATGAAGAGGGAGGGAAGGAAGGAAGGAAGGAAGGAAGGAAGGAAGGAAGGAAGGAAGGAAGGAAGGAAGGAAGGAAGGAAGGAAGGAAGGAAGATTATAATGAGAGAGGGGGAGGGTCTGAGGGAAGTCCTGCCTTAGCACTTGGCCACGACCAGCCCTGCTGCCTTTTTGCCATCCCCTTGTCCCCTTCTCCTGACTCTCCTGGTGGTCTCCCATCCTATTGCTGAGGATGCTTTGGTTACAAAGCCAGGTCTCCTCGCATAGAGAGTGAATGGGCCTCCCGCACACACCATGAGCAACTTGGCCAAGGAGAGCGAGTCAAGCAGCAGCAGCCTCAAGGAGAAGGTAAGCCCAGCCAGGCACCCCCTTGGGGAAGGCTAGGCTGAGCTGGGCGCTTGCCCTCCACTGCCCAGGGCTCTGGGCAATCTCCACTGCCGGGGGGTCCTCCGCTTGGCCTGAGCGCAAAAGAACCGCCACCAAAGAAATTAAAACCAGTACTTTTTTCCTTTTTTTTTTTTTTACGGTTTGTAACATTTTATTAGATTATGGAATAAAATACAAAAATACAAAAGGAAATAGTAGGACACAGTGGGGAGGAAGAAGGGGGAAAAAGTGAGGGGGAGAAAGGGAAAGAAAAAGCACTGACTTCCGACTTCCTCTGTTGCAGTAGAATGAAGCATTAACATCGAACCTCAACTTTTGACTTTTCACAATAGTATAAACTAGCCCAGTGATGGCGAACCTTTTAGAGACCGAGTGCCCAAAAACTGCCCCTGCCTGCCCCGTCCCACCTGCCCTGCCCCACCCTCACCCCCCGCCCACCTGCAGGGCCACTCAACACCTACACAGCCCGCCAGATTGCCCAGGTGGCCCAGCAGCGCCATAGCAGCCACGCCTTCTGCCCGCGCCCCACAGCATCAACTGCAAGTGATGGGGCCTGAGGGCAGAGTCTTGTCCCCACTGCGCAGCTACCATGTCCTTGGCTATGCTGCTCTGCACAGGCCGCACTCGGGGGCGACTCTTCTTAGGGGGGGCTGCTGTTGAGGGGGATACAGGTGGAGGCAGGGCTGGGGCGATGGTGCGTGTGCCCACAGAGAGGGCTCTGAGTGCCGCCTCTGGCACCCGTGCCATAGGTTCGCCACCACTGAACTAGTCATTTCTATAACAACAAATGAATCTAACCAGTAAAACCCCAAATCCCGGCCCTTTTTTTTCAGTCATCAAGTTTTTGACACCTTGCTAAGCAATGCAGGTACTAGAATATTGTCATGTCCTAAAAGTGGTAGAATCTGTGAAAAGGTTGAACAGCCCTGCTGTAACAAAAAACGATGCACGTGGCATTTTATTCCAACAATTGAAGTCTCTCTGGAGCTCAACCAACCTGCCTCTTACGCACACCAGTCTCTCTTCCCCAAAACACTCTGCAGGCAGTTATTGGAGCTCCCAGGCCTGTCCCTTGACCTGAAATTCTTTTATCTTTCTAAAAATCTCAACGAACCCCCTTGATCTCTTTGGAAAACTGTTTGTAAAGAACAGTGGAAAGCTTCTTTTTCAGGGTAGATTATACAGACCTTAAAAGGACTAAAACTGAAAACCTCCACAGACAGGGCTGTTCACTGACATGGGCAGAGAGAAAGAGGGATACAGCAGTCACCAGAGAGGGAATCTGGGCAGGTAAGAGAGGCAGATTCAGGAGCTCCATCCCAAAGGAAGCCCACCTGGACAGGGCTGCCCATTGGCCAATCCCACCTGGACGCCTCTCGGGTCTCCCTCACCCGCCTTCCAGACGCCCCTGGCCTCCTCCTAGCAGGGTCCCCGCCCTCGCCTCCAGCCACGCTCCCCCGGCCTCTTCCCCTCCCTCCCCTCCAGGCACTGGGAGGCTGATCCTCCCCAGCAGACACAGGGGAACGTGGGAACGGCGGTGCCCAACCTTCCGGGAAACGCCAGGAGCCCCCACGCTGGGAGCTGGGCTGCGCCAAGAGGTTGGGCTGCGGGGCAGGAGGGGGTCTCGGGGGAAGGATTTGAAGGGGGTCGGAGAGCCGTTCGTGGAAGCAGCAACCGAGGAGGAAGAGAAGCGGCGCCGCAGCGGTTCCCACGGAGCAGAAAACCTTGCAAGGAAAGGCGGAGACTCGGAAGGGGAGGGGGCGCAACTGGGGGAAACCCACCTCGCTCTCCCTCCCTCCCTCCCTCCCTCCCCCGAGGAATCCCTCCTCCCCTTCCCCCCTCTGGGGATTCCCCCCTCCTCCTCCTGGTTCCCCCCCTCTCGCAGCATCCTTGCCCACCTGGCGCCCCTCCCCGCGAGGGGAATCTCCGCAGCGCTGCCGTAAGAGACGTCCGGAAACCAGGAAGGGGGGCGGGAGGGGCCGAAAACTGACTCCCAGACCCCTTTCCCCTCCTTT